TCCGATCTCAGGGTCCATGGGGAACACGCCCAAGGACGGTGTGAACCTGAGAAAGGAGAGGTGCGGGCGCTGTACGCGGATCCGCGGTGCGGGGTGCCGGCCCTGGGCCGGAGCAGATGGGTGGATTTTGCGGTTTTGGTAATCCCACCGAAAAGGGTCCAAGTTGGAAGAGAAGGGAAATATTGAGGATGTGTGTGGCTCTGTCATGTCTGTACACTGTCGGTGTATGTCTGAAGAAAAAGGTGTGTCTGTCCAGTTGCCTCTATGTTGGCGCCTCTGCTGTGCCCCCCTTTCAGCCCACCATTCCCCATCCCCCTTCAGTTTCTTTTCCTCTTGCTCCCCCTCCCCCCACAAAGGACGTTTGGAGGGCAAGAGCAAACCAGGTGGGGAGGGGGTTGCGCAGGTGGGGGGCGGTGGCTCAACTTCAGCTCCCTCCATGGCTTGAAGGGAAGGTTGAAACATGTAAGGGGTGGGGGTGGGCCTGCAACGTCAGAGAACGCCCCTTACTGCAACCCGACCCCTCGACCGTATCTCCGGCCAGAAGGGCTGGGGCTAGGGGCATGGACAGCTAGAGGTTCCGGGGGGTTGGGGGCGATGACGCACAGATTGCGCAAAGAGAATCTATCAGCAAGCCGGGTCCAGTGAAGGGAGACCAGTCGTGGGCGGGGGTGGAGGGGGGACGGAAATGGGGAGGGGGCAGAGGAGAGAGGAGGGAGCCAAGGGGAGCCGCCAGTGCAGGAATGAAGGGGAGGGAGGGGGGCTTTGGTGCAGGCAGAGAGCTGTGCGGAGGCGTGGGCAGCGAAAGGGGGGAGTTACAATGACACACACCAGACACACAGAACTGCGGGCACAGGGGTACCATGGTCACACACAGGACTCAGATTGTCAGAGCCAGTCCTCAACCCCCTCCTCATCTCTTCCTACCACTCATCCTCCTCCTCCTCCCCCTCCTTCTCCTCCTCGTCCTCCTCCTCCTCTTTCCTCCTCCTCCTCTTCCTTCTTCCTCTCTCTCTCTCTCTCTCTCTCTCTCTCTCTCTCACACACACACACACACACACACACACACACACACAATCACTCACGTGTTTTCCCTCTATAGCCAACAGTGGCTTCTCGGTTCCATCAATGGCTCCACTTTCCCAGAAGAAAGCCCATCAGCTCTGCGAGGAAGGAGGTGGGGAGGAGGAGAGAGAGGAAAGAGAGAAGACAGCAGGAGAGGGAAGAAGGAAGGAGGGAATCTGCAAAAGGTAGAAGGACCAGGCAAAAGGAAGAAAAAATGCTGACAGCCAAGGTGACTGCGGAGATGCCAAGGAAAGAAGGGAGAGGAGGGGGTAACAGACCCCACGACAGTACCTCACCCCCACACACCAAATCTAGGATGTCCTGCTGCCCTGTACCCCCCTGATTCTTCCTTTCCCTTCCCATCTCCCTCTTTCCCCCGTGTGGTTACTGAGAGCATTGGAATGAGGAGGGGGGTCACATTACCTTCCCGAGGAGGATGAATCAGAGAGAGATGGTTCCGACATCTGGAGAGGGGGAGGGGAAGCCATCCCAGAGCCAGGCAAAGCGGGGGAGCCATGGAGGAGACTGTGAGGCTGATGGGGCTAAGCCACCAAGTGTGAGGGGAGGCAGGCACCTCCTAGAGAAACTGTGTTACTGTGGGCTCATGGATGTGGACACGCACCTCTGTGTATATGCACATGTGTGTATATGTGCACAGAGATTAGTGAAATAAATGAGAGGAAAGAAAAGGAAAGGGGGTTGGGGGGGCCAAGAGTGGTCGTGCTCCGATTTAAACACGCTGTCTTTTCCAGTGTGTGTGGTTGTGTTTTTGCCTGTTTCCAGGTATCTGTGTGTGACTGGGTGTGGGTTCTGAGCCCTTCTGCCAGTATACCTGGGTAGTTAAGAGTCTTGAGTCTGGAACATGTACCTGGGTTGGTGCGTTGTGTGTGTGTGTGTACAGGTATGTCTTTTGCAGTTCTCTGGGTCCTTCCATGTCTGTTGGTATATGTTAGAGGTTATGTGTGCTCTTTCCTGCCCCTTCCCCACATTCACCTTTTCTCTAGATTTCTATGCCATAAAGTCTCAGAATCCAAGCCATTCGTCTGCAGCCCTCAAGTTTGGGTCCTTGCCCCTGTTTACAGAGCGTTCCTCCATTCCTCCCCAACTCCCATGCCTCCTTTTCTGCACTCTAGACCAGAAGAACAGCTCAGAAATTAGCATCCCTAGAGCCTCAGCCATCTTGGGGTGAGGGAGGTGGCAAGAAGGTGGGAGTCCCAGGCACCGAGGGCTATAGGCTTGATGATTCCACAATCTGGTTCTTGATCCCTCTTATCTGGGTCTGTTTCTGCCTCTCTCCTTCCCAGTTCCCTACCTGGGCCAGTTTATTCATGAGCATTCTACCTCTTGAAGATGTACTGTGTTCTTCAGACCTTGCTGCCTTTAGGGGTTTCTGAGGAAGAAGCTGGATTGGGGACAGGTTCCTGGGATCCGGGAAAGAGGGAGTTGACAAGGAAGAAAGAGAAATGGAGAGAGAGCTGGGAAAGGCAAAGCTGAGATGGGGATCTGAAGGGGATGCCTGGCGTTTGCTCTGGGTTGTTTGTACAAATGCATCTCTCTTTGTCTTTGTTTCTGAATCGCTCGCTCTCCAGTAGGGTAAGAGAAGATGGGGTCTAGCAGAGTAATGATTCAAGCTAAAGCTTTGGAAAACCAGGAGAGGGAAGCACTGGGTCTTTCCCCTGAGAGAAAGTTCGGGAGAGAAAAAGAGCAAGGGCTTGTCCCCTTCCCCTTTCCTCCTCTGCCCCTCCCCCCCATACCTCCAGGTTCCTCCTCCTTCTCTTCCTCTCCCCCAACCGGTGACTCACCTCTGCAGGCTTTCATTGCGTCAGCCATGGGGGCGGGGGTGGGGGAGTGAGGCTGGGCAGGGGAACTTTATGAGAAGGGCAGGGGTCTCCACTTGGGAGGGAAAGAAGCTGCTGACCCCCCCCCCCCGAAAATGACCCCATTAGAATGCATTATTGCCCTATCCTCTGCCACCCCAGTTGAGTAGAGTTCGGAGTCCTGGGAAGGGGTCTGGGAGAGGGCTGGGGGCCACTGACAGGTCTGGGAATTATAAGTAATAGGAAGGGGCTGCTCACCCTAATTTTCAGTCCCCTGGTCCCATTCCCTCATACTCCCACCCACTCCTGAGTGGAGGAAGGGACCAGGAAGCCGGGGGGAGGACAAAGCCGCAGAGATGAGTCACCAAGAAAGGGAGAGAGAGGAAGAGACAGAGATGAGGAGAGACACAGAGAGAGACAACTACTGGAGAGACTGAGAAAAACACACACACGCCATGAAGGAAGGTGATACCCACAAACTAACAAGAAAAAGGGAATTATTTGCTTCCATAACCCCGAGTCAGCCTCCTCCAACACCCACCTGTCACACACACACACACACACACACCATCATTCAGAGTTACATTGACATTCTGAGACACACCCATTTACACAAACACAATGTCACACCTAGCCTAGAAGACCCATGCTGAGGATGTGACAGGGTAATGGAGATTTGCGTTGAGAGCCTTCATTCTTCTTACATGGGATAGTGGAAGGAGGTAAAAACTCTGAAGGTATGTGACTTCAAAAACCCAAGATGCGGATCAGGGACTCAGAGGCTACGCCTTACACACACGACAACACACACACACACACACACACACACACACACACACACACACACACACAGTTCCTTGCCTCCCCAGCCACAGCACACAGCAACATATCATGCATCGTCCTCATCAAAGACACTTGGGAGTACCTGATTCTTGGGTACACCAGCCACGATGTCCCGAACTCATCTCACCCAGACACCCTCTTACTTGTACACACATGTACAGAAACGCAGACACACAAAGACGCCCATGGACACACACGGACGGAAACCACCTTGCGCTGCCTCGCCCGCGTCCGCGCACGTCCTAGCGCCCCCGCGTGGTACTTTTTGGGATTGCAGTCATCACCACCCGAGGTTGAAGCGGCGGCTCCACCTTCTGCATGGTGCCCACCCAGGAATGAAGAAAGCAAGGGAAGGAGTAGAGAGCTGGGAGTTAGACGCCTGGATCGTGAGGCTGAGAGAGGATGGTCCTGGATGCCAAGGGGAACTTGGAGGAAGAGCCCAAAGAATTTGGCAGCAGCCTACAGCCAGGTGCAGGTGCCCAGTCCAGTCAGGACCCCACACCACTGCTCACCTTTCTGCTTCTTGTTTGCAGTGGGAGCAGGCAAGGGCTAGCTTCCCCTCGGGGAAGTCATTAGCCCTTTGCCACAGGGCTAAGATCCTAATACAGGGGAAAGGGGAAGGTAATGGATGTCATGAACCCCCCCTTCCCCTACACACACACACACACACACACACACACACACACTGAGAAGTAAAACAAACACATGGTGGACTAAGAATCCGCTTTTATTGCAACATAACCTTGATTGAAGCGACAGGAAGAGTAGCAGCAGGTCAGGCACAGGAGAGGAAGTGGGACAGTGTGGAGCAGTGGTGCTCCTCTGCCCACCGCCCACCTCCTGGCACCCATCCCTGTGAGCCCTGTGCTCACTGTCAGTGTGTCCTTAGCAGCAGTTCATTGTCCCAACAAGTAGTTTCAAGCTATCACCGTCAAAGAATGAGGCTTTGGGCCTGGGACACCTGGCTTCTAGTCCCTGCGAGGAGGCTCCCAACTACTGCAAGGGACTGGGAAGTCACTCTGAACTTCCTGGGTCTCTGTCTCCTCCCTCTGCAGTGGACGTGAGGATGCATGTAGAAAACAGTGCTGTGCAAATACAGCTGTTAGTACATGCATTTCTTTCTTTATTTTAAATATATTTTTATTTCAGAGAGGAATGGAGAGGGAGAGAGAGGGAGAAACATCAATGATGAGAGAGAATCATTGCTTGGCTGCCTCCTGCACACACACCCCCACTGGGGATCAAGCCCACAAACCTGGCATGTGCCCTTGACTGGAATTGAACCCAGGACCCTTCAGTCCACAGGCTAATGCTCTATTCACTGAGCCAAAGTGGCCAGGGTGCTACTTGCATTTAAATAGAAGACTGTCGAAGTCCAAAAAGTGTAAAGGAACTAGAGAAAGGGACGAGTGTCCAGAAATACCTGGAGGTGGGTTCCAGTCTCACTAGAAAGCAGCCTCACACTGGCTGAGGGACTTGCCCTCCACTACAGCAAATCCTCCAGCCTGCGCCCCTGGTTGCCAGCATTAGGAGGGGGCCTGTGAAATATCAGCATGGTGCAACATTGGAGGAAACCCCAGTTAGAGGGTGCAAGCTCAAAAAGGTGACTCACCAGAGGGTATACAGGGAGAGTAGGGGGAGCATTATAAATCTATTTCATTTCCTGGGTCTCTTTCCATATTGCACACATGGTGGGTGATAAAGAGATAATTGGGGAAAGGAGGTGTCTGGGAAGTCTAGAGAGGAGGAAGGTGGGGGTATAGAGAAAAGGGGAGGACACTGATCTAGAGGCACAGAGCAGTGAGGGGAGCCCGGGCAAGCTCTGAGGGCTTGAGGCAGCTGTGCTCCTGGAGAGGTGTTGTCAGAAGGGAGAAGCCAGGAAGGATAGAGTTCACTCCTAGACTAGGACAGGAAAAAAACTCTGAAGTCTATGATGGAACAGATTCTTTGCCCAGGAAAGGGAAAAGGTGGACAATAGCAATGCAAGGGGCTCCACCAAACTGGGTGGTTCTGATCTGGCAGCGGACAACGGAGAGGTACAGGGGAAGGAAAGAGGGACCAGCAGTGGGAAAGGATAGGGGGCATGGGAAGGGATGGAGCTTGCAAATGAGGGCAGGGCTTTCTGGGGATCAGTAAGGGGGCAGCATCTTCTTCAGATAGTAGCGACTTCACCTGTGGCCTCCAGCAAGTACTGCTCCGTGTAACCTTGGACCAGCTCAAACCCCAAGCTGACCTGGCAAATATAAGCCAGCTATGACCACAACTGGGGCGCCAGGAAGAGCTGGCACATGCCGTTGACACCTGTGATGCTTGCCATGCCACCACTTGCTTTTGACAGTGCCAGCGGCCCGCAATGCCACCTGCCAGAAGCACGGATGTGCTGGATTGGACCAAAAGGATGCCCTGCGGGGGACACAAGTGAGCACCAGGGCTGGCAGTGGGAGAACTGACAGGCTGGTGGGGCCTCGGCCTCTTCGTATCTTCACCCCCACATCCACATCCACATCCAACGGGCTCCCGCTTGAGCCCCATGGGGACATATATCGTGCGGTGCAGGGTGAAATGGAATATGTGAAAGCTTGGGTCCCCCGGGGATAGCAAGGACGAACCAGGGGCAAAACCTCTGAATAGGAGAGGTGAGGTCAGTGTGGAGCGTCCAGGGAGCTGGGGGTGTGGGCCCTTGAGTCCCTGGGAGAGGTGGAAGTGAGGCAGCAGATCAGTGGGTAGGAGGGGAGAATGGAGGGGGAGGATAAAGGCTCAGGTGTTGGGTTCCTGAAGGGAGACAGGGTAAATGCATGGGAGGCGGGGTCACCAAGGTCTAGGCTCCTGAGCTCTTCAGTCTCCAGAAGTGAGGACTGAGGGTTGGCAGCTGGGAGTCGGGAGCTGTTTGACTTCCCCTTGGCAAAGAGGTCTGGGTAAAGACTGGGAGTCCCAGGGCAGGGTTCCCATCAGTAGAACCGGCAGAGAAAGAAAACGAGTGACTGGCTGAGCCTGGGGGAAGACGCCCAGCCCCTTTGTTTGTCTCACCTGCTTGGTGTTTGGGCGGTATTTCTTCAACTCCCGGGGGTCCCGCTGGTCTGGAAGGCGTGCCACCTTGACCCCTGAGCGCTGCCGCCAGACCAGCTGCAAGCAGAGGCTCTGCACCAGGCAGGCCACGCCCTCACCGCGCTCTCAGGGCGCCAGGCGCAGCCCCTCCACCAACGCTGTCTGCTTCTCATCGATCGAGTGCACCGACTCCCCAGGCTGTTAGAGGGCCCCTTCCCTGCCTCTGCCACTGGGGCTCACAGGGCTCGCCTCTTCCCACACGCTGAGCGCTCCATCACTACTCTGGGCGCCGGGCCAGGCCTGGTACCTGTCCAGGGAGCGCTCCTCATTACTTGGGTCTGATTCCAGACCTGGCAGTAACGCTCATTGCTGACTGGGCAGGCCGCTCTACCTCTGGAGATGCAGAAGCTCCGGATGCAAATGGGTCCCTGACCACTCGCCATGCCCCCTTTCATTGGCTCTACCCCCAGGAGATTGCCTCGCCTCGGTCACCTGCCACGCCCCTTTCCTATTGGCTTCTCCGGGAGCCCATCTCAGAACTGGTTCCGCTCACTCACATAACCAGGCTTCTTTGTGTGAGAAGTCAGTCTGCTTAGGGCTCCTGGCCCCACCCTACCTGCTCCCATTCCCAGCCTACCCCCACCCCACTAGCTGCCCTCTTTTTGTGCTCCTGTCCCAGAAACTCCTCAAACAAATCATCAAATACCAAAGTTTTCACCAGTCCCTCGTTATTCTTTTTTTTTAAAAAAAATATATATATATATATTTTATTTATTTCAGAGAAGAAGGAAAGGGAGAGAGATAGAAACATCAATGATGAGAGAATCATTGATTGGCCATCTCCTGCCTGCCCCACATTGGGTATGGAGCCTGCAACCTGGGCATGTGCCCTGACCCTGGAACTGTGACCTCCTGGTTCATAGGTCAATGCTGAACCACTAAGCCAGCTGGGCTCCTCCACTATTCTTGAGTTCTAGGTGTCCCCTATTCTCCCCCTCACTGGCTAAGGATCTGAATACCCTACTCTTTGATTGCAAGCCTGCTCGATATCCTCAGCAATTTGACAAGGGCTGAGGGAGAGAGGCTCGCTTACCTCTCCTTCCTAAGATTCAGACACCCAAACACGGCTTCACCCCTTTTCACCTAGGCACTGCCCAGTTCTCACCACTTCTCTGGTGTGCTTGGCCAGCACCGCCGTGAGGCTGGGATCCTGGAGCCAGATGTGGTAGCAGCCGAGAAGACAGTCAAGGTCACCATAGATGCCCCCGAAATGGCCAGCACTTCCTCAAACTCCGGTTATGTGGCCACCACGAGTTCCAACTGCTCAGTCTCAGTCTTGGGCCCACATCCTGGCCTGGGCTTGGCCCCAGAACTTGGCCCCCAGAGGTTTCTTCTCAGCCTCCATCCCTAACTCGGACTTGGACTATGTCCAGGCCTCCTGTGACCGGTGTTCCGAGAGTAGCTTCGCATCTGGCTCAGCCTCACTTTCAGGCTTAGGGACCTCTGAGGTGGCTACACTGCGGCCAGCTTCCAGCTGCATTAACCTGCAGAAAGAGAGAACCCAGCATTGGGGTCAGAGTCTGCTGTTTCCACATCTGGCCTCCTCTATACAAATAGTCCCCACAACCCCTTGCTACACAAACAGTGCTGCTCCTCCTCTCTCCACAAAGACCTTCCTGGGAATAAAGGGCCTCCAGTTCCCCCCCTCACCCCAGCCCCAAGAAATCTTTAAAATATATATATTTTATTAATTTTTAAAATATATATATATTTTATTGATTTTTTACAGAGAGGAAGGGAGAGAGATGAGAGTTAAAAACATGGATGGGAGAGAAACATCGATCAGCTGCCTCCTGCACACCTCCCACTGGAATGTGCCCGTAACCAAGGTACATGCCCTTGACCGGAATCAAACCTGAGACCTTTCAGTCCGCAGGTCGATGCTCTTTCGGCAGCTTGAAGAAGTCTTAATCCTATCCTGCTCTACCCAACCAGGATGTGTCTTAACACACACAAAATCAGGGCCCTGTGAGCTCTCCAGAGACTAGTCCCTGACCTCCTCCATCCCTAGTCAGTCCCAGGACTCAGAGGAAAGAAGGAGAGTATAAATAATGGCGGGACCCTCCTCAAGCGCCCTACCACCTCTCTATAAGAGCAACATGAGGAAAAAAAAAATCTCATAATCTCCACTCCCTTTTCCAGGACAGTTTCCAGGGAAAGTGGAGGATTCAACTCCCACCTTCTTTTTACCATTGTCACTTATCATTCCAGGGCAAAGGGAGGGAGATGCAGACTCAGATACACACACACACACACACACACACACACACACACACATTGCTGCCCCAGTTCCCTCCACACCAGACACCCACATTCAAACATAAACCAAGGGAGTGGACACATGGAGAGCTCCATTAGAAAATTTCAAGCCATTCCTTCCAGGCTCAGCAAAACCACTTTTTCCTTCTTCCTCGAGTATGTTCCCTCCTTAGGGAGACTTGGCTCCACTCCAGTATGAGATGATCACCTTGGAAAGCGTTCTGCTGTGGCTCCAGCAAACCAAATGTCCACCAAGATCACCCATGTCCCTTCCCATTTTCCTTCCCTCCAAAGATGGAATCCCTTCTTTTCTCTCTCTTCCCTTTTCCTCCTTTTAAAATTTGTTCCTGTAATCTTTGCCCCATCTTCCACACAGGACTTTCCCTGTCCTTTCAATTCATCAAAGTGTCCTTTTTGGGTCAGTTCCCTGTGGATCTGGCACCTGTTTGGCCTCTGGCTTTTCTCTTTTCCCTGCCTAGAGACAGGGCCAAAAAGAGAGGCCCTCCTTAAGTCATGAGGACTATTTCTAGATCTCCTTCCTCCAGACTGATCAAATTCCCCTCCTCTCTCTTTCCAGCCAATTATAATACTCCCCCACCACACACACACACACAACCTGCATCTCATTAACCAACAACCTAGGGGACAACTACTTTGTGGGTAGTGATATTGGCTTGGTTGGATTAAAACAAACAAACAAACAAACAAACCCAAGAACATTACCAATGCTTGGGAGAGGCACCAAGGGGTGGCTTAGGGGTGATTTTAGCTTCCATACCATAAACAAAACTTATGTGAACATAGAGCGCTTGCTACACAAACAAGATTCAAAACATGACCACCATCTCCTTCTTTCTTTTCAATCTGATGCTGATGCCTAAGGCTCTTCCAGGTAAGACAGTTCAGAGGCACAGGCTCAGAGGATCAGAGGCACAGGCTCCGAGGCTCTCAGGGCCCCAACTAGGGTCATTAGAGACCACCAAGTTCAAACCATTCCTTTCACATTGAGGAAATTGAGGCCCAAAACTGTAAGTTTTTCTGGCTTCCAGGTGGGTGAGGGAGGCAGGAAAAACAACACCACCACACGCACACCCACACACACCCACACACACACACCATTTTAATGTGTCTGTGTGTATGGGGGGGCGTCCAAACCTAGTCTGAAGAGCAAAGATAGGAATCACTTGGTCCTTGACTGGAATCAGAGGTCCTAAATACTAAGGGCTGAGCTGACTCAGAATCAGAGGTGGGATCATAGGAGGAACCCCACTGCTTTCCCTCCCAGTGTAGCGATTTCTAGGCCAACAACACGCACCAGACTCCTTGCCTCGGGCTCTGGGGATGATGGTTAACTTGAGCAGGTTATCTTGCATCTCCAGGCAACCTCACCAGCTATCCATGGGTCCCTGGAAAATGCAAGCTGGTAGGTGAGGAGTAACATCAGCAATTTCCCCCTCTGCTCCTAAGGGGGCCAGAATGTGAGCAACTTGTAAACTGGACCACATCCAATAGATCTAAGACTTTATGCTTTTCTTTCCCTTCCTTGCTTTCAAGACTATTTCCAATGGTGTCTCTACATCTCCGACTAGGTTGTTTGTAAGGGGAAGGGGTGGGATAGTTCCCAGGGTCACAAGGAAGAAAGAAAGGCTTGCCAATTTAACACCCATCTTTTCTTTCAAGGCACTCCTCTATTCCTATTCCCCTTTTTGGAGACACAGAGATTCCAAGGTCCTTAAACCTTGAAGGAGGTGGGTGCTGGGAAAAAAATAGGTTAGGAGTTCCAGGCCAAGCCAAAGCTGCCAGCAGGCTCTACAATACTTGCTCCACTTTCTGATCACGTCCCACCCTCCAGGATGATACCCTCCAACCCACTCCTTAACTTTAATTCCCAGAAAGCGTTTAGGCAGAGGCAGCCCTGTGTCTCCAGGGCACTCTGGGAAATGTAGTTCAGGCATCTCTTGGGGTAGCAATTTCCCTTGCCATCCATATCCCCACATCCTTGTATCTATGAATGGTCAATCTGGGGAGAAGGAGATGATTGAAGTAATCACCGGGCAAGCTGGCAGCGCCCCATCCCATTCCCTTCATCCCCCACCCCCACCTCCATCCCCCAAATACTGATGCCCTAGAAGTCCCAGCTTTTGGGAACTGGAAGGAGAGGGAGCAGAGAGCAGAGAGCAGAGAGGCGGAGACAAAGAGAGGGCAGCTACACAAAGCGCCCCAAGATGCGAGGGGCGCAAAAAGGACTAGAACGGGGGCAGAAAGGAGACAAAGGCAGACAGGAGATGCGGCGGAGAGAGGACGTGAGAGGGGAGCGGGAAGAGGCATGGATGCCGAATCACAGGCATGACACCTCATGACTCAGGGCTCAGCTGACGCCAAAAAAGTTCGAGCACAGCACCCCCTAACCCAGGAGGCCTATAAATAGAAAGCATCGTGACACACCCCCTTCTCCCGGCGGAGTGGTGGGGGGCGGGGTCAAGAAAGGAAAGAGCCAGAAAAGAGGCTGGACCAGAGCAGAGACCTGGAGAAGAGGCGGGGGGAGGAAGGATGGAGCCGGGCAGAGGAAGGGGGTGCCTCCGGGGGCCTCAGCCGTGGGAGACGTGTCCCTCAGCTCCTTGCAGGAGTTGGGATGTGGGGGTGGTGGGGAAAGCAGAGTGGATTGAGACCACAAGAAAGCTATCTAACTTGGCAGGGGTCCGTCCCCCTGGGCAGCAGACTCTGGGGTCAGGGGGGACCGAAATGGCGCCGGGGTGGAGGAGGCTTATGGGACCGCGCATCTGAGACCGGGGGCGAGGGGCGGCCTCGGTCATCCGGCCAGGGAGTGGGCGGGGCCTGGGCCTGGGGGCGCCCGGTCTTTCTCCCTCGGGGGGCGGCGGCCTGTGCAGCCCCCATTCCGGGGAGGAGGCCAGCGCCCTCCGATCTCGCGGCCCCCCTACCTCTCCGGAGCCGGGACCGGGGTGCTGAGCAGCGGAGCGGGATGGCCGCGCGGACAGCGGACGGTGCCGCGAAAGGGGGTCACTTCGGAGCCCAAAGGCTCAAGTTCGGGTGACGCGCGGGAATCGCGAGGGTCCAGACTCGGGGAGTTCGAATGCGAAAGGGCGGCTTGCGGGCGCCGGCGACCCGTGCCCGGGGTTGGGGTTCGGGCCGTGTGCGCGGCTCCCGCGGCCACGCGCGGTGGGGCCCAGGCCGGCGGCTCGGAGGGCAGAGGGCCCGGCGACGCCGGGGAAACCCGGCCCGGATCCGGAGCGGACTTCGGCCCTTGGGCGCCGGCCAGAGTGGGGCGGGGCGGGGCGGGGTGCGGGGGAGCCGTGGTCCCGGCCCTGCGGATGGGATTGCATCCCTGGTCCTGGCGGGGGAACGGCCCCGAGGGTGGGAAAGGTTGTTGGGTTTTGGGGGAAAGGGTGTTGGGCTTAGTGATTGCCGCTGGCCCCCAAAACCTGTGCTGGATTCTGAGGCTCCGGGGATGATGGTTAATCTGAGCAGGTTATCCTGCATCTCCAGGCAACCTCACCAGCTGTCCATCCATGGCTGTCTCCTCCAGGGCCACCCCTGAACGTAACCCCTTCTTCCTTCCTCCAGAGGACAGCTGACAGCGGCTAGGAAAGCACGGCCCTGGGGACTGGGTCCGAGAAACTGGTAGAGGACACTGGAAACCCCTCGAAGATCGGGAAGCGAAGAGACTCCAAGAGATGGAAGAAACCGAGTCCGAAAGGAGCGGAGCGAGGCCGAGATGGGTCAGACAGGCCGCCATTCCCAGGGTCGCAGAGCGGCCTTGTCCCCCAGGTGCTCAGCTCACAGCCTCTCGTTTCTCAGGGGCCGTTGGGCAGCACGCAGAAGGGGAGACCTTTGGGCACAACCCCCGTGCACACCTGGGATCTGAGTACGCGGGGCTCCACACGCCAAGCTTGCCACCTGGGGCGAGGAGAGGAAGGATGGGAGGAGAAGCACAGTGTGCACCTGGAATCGCAAGGGTAGCACTGTCCCTGACTCTCATAAGCATGTGGCCCAGCCTCTGAGGCCCTCCCACCCCCCAAAGTGAGATACATACACGGGCAGTTCTACCCCGCAAAGAGCCAGGGAATGGTGGATGGGAAAGCCCTTTGGTAGCTGTAAAGCTCTGTAAGGAGTATTACAGTCAGCTGAGAATGGGACTCCCACCCTTGTCCTCTTTCCAGGACCTGCCCAGCTCCCAGGCTCCCCGCTTCCCACCAAAGTTGATCCCTCGCCCACCTCATCCGTTTTTATACTTTCCAAGATGAAGACTCCATAACCTGGTAAACTGAGCCCATGGGCTGAAGGTGATGAAATAGAGCAGTGTTTCCCAAAGTGTGGTGTGTACCCCCAGGGGGACGGGAAGAGTTTGGTGGGGGTACACTTCACACCGGAGTTTGGTGGGGATATGCACTGCACTGTGCTTAGCTGCATCTAATTCTACGTTCTCACGAGGGGTACTCAGTGTTACGAAAATTATAGAAGGGGTACACATATGTCAAAAGTTTGGGAAACACTGAAATAGAGGATTGTGTTCCTTGACTCTCATTCACCACGTAGTTAAAGCCATAAGTCTCATCTCTTGAATTCTAGCTTCAGGTCAGCCAATAAAGTAACACACAAAAAAAAACACAGCCTTTTTTTTTTTTTTTTTTTTTTTTTTTTAATAGAACTCCTGGTCCCCATTTCTGATTTTTGAAACTGCTAACATAGTAGGATCTCCCAAAGCTGCAGTCAAGGTGGATATGCTCAATTGTGGGAAAGCACCTCAAAAAAGTTAAAGGTATGAAGGAGATGCAATAACATCCTAATTTCTAGTGGAAGAAGGGAGATGCAATAACATCCTAATTTCTCCCCCTTTACCAGAAGCTTCAGCTTCTGCCGTCAGAAACTCTTGGACTGATCCAACATTCATGTACTTCCAGCTCCCTCAATCAGGCTTGAAAGTTGCCCAAAGTTCCAATTCCCTAATATCCAAGTTATTCAGAGCAACATGTCACTGCTCACTGGCCTGTCAAAAGCCATCTGGTTCTAAAATCACCATGTTCAGGCTCCTCCATCCTGACTGCCCAGGAGGGTAGGGGGCAGTAGTGATAAATTGAAAGGTGACTGATTAATCTCCTGGCTGCCCTTCCCAGCAAAAGAACCAGAGGCATTCAGCATCCATAAGTGCTCTGAGGATACAGGGAGGAGGGCCATCACCCTATGCTACATGCTTTGAAATCTGCTAAGATCAAGGCCAGTGGGGGATGGAAGGCTTCTCAGGCCTGTAGCCACTACTGGTTCTAATATGTATGAGCCATAGAACCACTTAGCATATTTGCAAAGCACTGTGGCTTAATCCTCAGAACACCATAGAACAGGTGGGATTATTTATTCATTTTATAAATGAAGAACGTGGGTTTCATGACTTGGGCGAGGTCCCATAGCTGGCAAGGGACACTATCAGGTCTCAGACCCTATTGACCACTCAGCCCTCAGAGGTCAAGTGTACCCTGTGAAAGCATGAAATCACTTTACAAACTATAAATCACAAAACAATGTCAGTACTAGAAATGCCGGAGATTTCCATTAGTCACTGAACTTTGTAAACACTGTCTTGTACCTTGGGCTCCTGACTATTGGCTTTAACCCTCATGCTGGGCTTGTTTATTTGGACTTTCATTTGGGAGAGCTTATTGTTTGTCTTCCCTCTGGGCCAGGTGTATCTTACTGTCAACAGGGTGCTACTTTTGATCTTTTTAAAGGTGCTACTTTTGGTCATTTCAGTTGGGCCCATTTTCTACTGCAGGGCCCTCCCCATTCTCCCTTTTCTTTCCCGCTATTTCCCCACAATGGACCACCTTGGATCTTCTTCCCGGACCTTCTGAACACTGTTGCCTCTCGGGATTCTAGAGACTAGGAATTCCTTCTCTAGATTTGTGAGTTTTGGCTGTTCTTTCTGACCCCCCTGCTACTAATGTTTAGTCCCCTTCCCCCCTCCTGATACAGTGACTGCTCCTCCTATCCCTGGGCAACTCCCCAGTCTACAAGTCAAGTCTTAACTTTCCAGGATATCTGCAGCTATGTATGGAACATCTGCCCTTGAATGGGAGCAGTGAAATAAAAGACATAAAAGTGCTTTACAGGAACTGAGCTGGCTATCTCTTATACTCTAGCATGCCAAGCTCCTTTTGCATGTAGGAAGGAGACCAAAGATCAAGGATTAAGTTATTGGCCCACAGTCACAGAGCCAGAGTGCCTAAAAGCCTTATGCAGAATTATAGCACTGAAGAATCATCCGGTATTACAGATGCCACACACTCACTGGTGACTCATGGTTTCCTCATCTGTAAAGAGGACATATTGGGTAGTACCTAACTTCCAGTAAAGATTGAATAAGATAATGTTTGAAAAGTGCTTGGCATAGCATAGAAGTTTAATTAATGGTAGATAGTATTATCTAGCCAACTGGATAAGCAATTCTCAAATGTGGTGTATTACAGTTTGTACTATGGAATTCAACTGAAGACTCTATTGTTTATTATTCTTTCAGGACTGTCAAAATGCTAGGAACTTCATGAATCAGGGAATAAGAAGCTGGAAAACCACTGAGCTTGACCATAAACTTTTTTAGAACAGGGTTGACATCACAGTTATCTACATATTGAACTAAGTTATTTGGCACTTAATTCAGGCCTTGGCACATACAGATTCTTAATAAGTATGTTACAAATGAATGAGTGAATTATTTCAATCTTTTTCTGCATTAGGGAGAGTGAGGCCAGACTGATTATCAAAGATCACTCAATTGGGGCTAACAGGGTTCAGATCAAGATGATGGAGTAGGACACTATCCTGCACTGTCCTACCTCCTTCCATGACCAAGCCAAAATTACAACTAAATTATACAACAACCAACCTGGATAACCATCTGAAGTCTAGCAGAAGTCCTATAACTAAAGATATAAAGAAAAAGCCACATCGAGACTGGTAGAAAGTGTAGAGATGCAAAATAGGCTGTCCCCACACCCACATGTGGCAGTTAAGAATCCAGAGGAGCTCTAGGTGTTTTGGCTCAATGAATAGAGTCCACCTGCAGACTGCAGGGTCCTGGGTTCAATTCCAGTCAAGGGCATGTACCTTGGTTGTGGGCACATCCCCAATAGGGGGTATGCAGGAAGCAGCTGATCTATGTTTCTCTCTCATTGATGTTTCTAACTTTCTATCCCTCTCCCTTTCTCTCTGTAAAAACATCAATAAAATATATATTTTTTAAATAAAAGAAACAAATGGGACTACACAGCAAAGGAAAACATCAACAAAATGAAAAGTCAACCTTCTGAAGAAGATATTCACCAATGATACATCCAATGAGGGCTTAATATTCAAAATTTATAAAGAACTCATACAATTCAATCCTGAAAACAAAACAAATAATCTATATTAATAAAAGGGTAATATGCTAATTAGACCCGGAGACCTTCCAGACAAAGCCATGGTGGCGGAGCCTAGACAAAGGCGGTTAGGGTTGATCAGACGAGGAGGGGAGGGCAGTTGGGAATGAGCAGACCTCTGATCTCTGATGAATGGCCCCAGAGGGAATCCATGAGAGGGTTGGGAAGGAAGAAGCTAAAAATTGCTTAGAAAGAAAACAGAAGAGGCCAGGAAATCTGAATGGGATTCTGGAAGGTGGGGAGAGAGGAAGGAGGCAAAGGTGATTCTAGCATCTCCAGTGTGTAACTGGGCAATGATAACCTCTGGTGGCAGCAGACAGTTCAGGATACAGAGCTCATTGGATATGTAGATGAGATAAGATGACTTTTCAGAGCCAGAGGGATTAGCAGGTAGAAAGGACCCACAGGGGTGAGGCTCGGGAGGAAGGACTAGCAGAAGGACTGGAGAGGAACCCACCTCTGAGAAGTTATGGCTGGAGTCCCAAAGCACATTAGGGTGAATAGAGATGGCACAGGGCTCAAATCCAACTCTAGCAGGATTTTCATTGTCTAGTCTGGAACTTCCAAAACAGTTGCAGTGATATCTAACCTGTCCTAATTTCCTCTGGCCTGCTGGGTCAACTCCTTTATTGCTTCTGAGGGCTCCTCCCTACCTCAGCCCTTGAAGAGCTGGCCTTTCTCTTCTTCAAAAAAGCTTTCAAATATTTTTTCCCAGCTGCATTGTGGGCAGCCCGCCCACCCCCCCCCCCAGCAGAGAAATTCAGAGTACAGAGTGGTGGGAAGCCAGTAGATGACACTTTTCCTTAACCTTAACACAAAGACCTTTGTGCAGCTGTCTTATGAGCTTGTATGCATCATATTCACTTGCCAAAATAACGCTGTGTGTGTAAAAACTCAAGCTGTGGTTCTAGCTGGTTTTGCTCAGTGGATAGAGCGTCTGCCTGCGAACTGGAAGGTCCCAGGTTCGATTCAGGTCACGGGCACATGCCGGTTTGTGGGCTCAATCTCCAGTGGGAGACATGCAGGAAGCAGCCGATCCATAATTCTCTCATCATGGATGTTCTCTCTCTCTCCCTTTTCCTTCCTTTCTGAAATCAATTTAAAAACAAAACTCACCTGGCCAGCATGGCTTAGTGGTTGAGCATCGACCTATGAACCAGGAGGCCATAGCTCTATTCTCAGTTGGGGTACATGCCTGGGTTTTGGGCTCGATCCCCAGTGTGGGGCATGCAGGAGACAGCCAATCAATGATTCTCTCTCATCATTGATGTTTATATATCTCTCTCCCTCTCCCTTTCTCTCTCTAAAATTATATATATATATATATATTCAAGCTCTGTAATATGATTTGTGCTCTTGGCTGTGTTGTATATCAATAAAAGGTAAAACAACAACAACAACAACTGAGTCACATATGTTATCACCTGTTGGGATTTCCCCAAACCTGAAAGGGATGCATTAAATTGATTATTTGCTGCCAGACAGCTCAGGGCATTTTAATCTACATGTTATTGCCTCCTACTGGCCAAACACCTGAACAGCCATAGGCTATTCCCCAATCTGACAATGCTTCCACCTTGCCCTAGGACAATTTGTGTTAATAAAAAGCAATGGATCCTGAGACAAGGAGAACTTAGCTCCTCCTGCTAGGCACCTCTGACCCCCAATGCCTTTCAAAATTATCTTTCATCTCTGGACTCTTACTTAATCTATGTACAGCCTTTCTCAAGATTGCTGAACCTTTCTTAATGCTGAAACAAGAGCACCTTCAAATATAAGATTTAGTTGGAACCTATATGACAGCAGTCACTGGGAAATAGTTTATTGATATGCAAAATGCCCTTCTGAGTGTTTCACTTGTGATCTAGCAAGCTGTATCCATTGTCTGGACATTGTGGTCTGGGGTCTGCACATATTGGTGGGAGTTGTATGACATGGGCATGACACTGAACTCTCATCTCTTCTCCATATGAAGCTCCAGCCTCTTAGACCAAGACCCACACAAGATGGATGCTTAGTAAGGGAAGGCTAGAAAACCAGATGACTGGAAAAATGGGGTCCAGAGGACCTTTGCCTTAGTGAGGCTAGGATCTGAGCATGAAAGCAGAGGTCTCCTGGGGAAGATCAGGAAAGTCTGGGAGTCATAGCAGGGATTTCTGAATCCTAGGGCTTCCTCCTAGTCTAGGCTGGCTTCCTGGAAAG